ATATATTTAAAGGGCAAATATCAAACTTGCAACTTATTTAATAAGGAACACCCAAACAACGGATATTTTCCAGAACTGTTAAGGAAAAACTAACAAGGTAAAACCTTTGAAGGTGAATTACTTGCCCATTTTCAGAGAGGAGATGGTGGAAGATAGAACAATAGAGAGAGAAAAAAATCAACCATGTAGGGATAAGATATTAGAAAGATAGTAGCTTTTTCCTACGTTTTATTTATTTTATGTATATCAACTGGTATAATTTACAAACCTTAAGACACAACAAGATAAAAGATTTAAATACAATTCAATCAAAATAGTCCAAAAGCATAAATGCACTGCAAGCAACATCAAAGGTATATATATGTTACCAGGTCCAGGAGCATCTTCCAAAGTGCGTGTGTCCCAATGTGAGCAAGCGCAGATTTAATCCGATCATGCCCTTGAAGATCATCGACACATTCCCCCTGTTCATAAGTTTCCACCAAAACAGCGGGATGCACAAATGGGCAGCTTCCCTTGCAAGATCAACTTGAGACATGATAAAAACTGCAAACTTCTGTACACTCTCAATCCAATCTCTACCACTTTAAAGAAGGAATGAAGTTTGAAATTTTTGCTACCAGATTGATTATAACAAAATCTCTCCTAATCGATTCACAAACACCAGGATGCCTAACCTTTACGGCAACTACTATGGGCTTCGCCTGTTGACCAGCTCCATGCACTTGAGCAATACTTCCAGATGCTACTGGTTTCTCTTCAAAATTATCAAAAATCTACGGGAGCTTGCGGCCACATGCTTGTTCGATAGTTTTCTTCGTGTAGACAAAGCTATGTTCAGGAGCTACTGGCTTCTCTTCAAAATTTTCAAAAATCTCCGGGAGCTTGCGGCCAAACGCTCGTTCGATAGTTTTCTTCGTGTAGGCAAAGCTATGTTCAAGAGGCTTGGTGCCTAAAGGCGTTTGAATCATCAGAAAAAATAAAAATAAAAATCCATGCTAGGCGGCCTAGGCGTTTTATTTATTTATTTATTATTTATTTATTTTAAATTTAGATTTTTGTTCTCCAGGTTAAATTTTAATGCTTTTAAACCCCCAGTAGTAGATAAAAAAAATATTTCTTTTAATGATATTCCTAGTTGAAAACATTTATTTTCTATTTGGTGGCAATTTCCGACGTGACCTCATATACACGACTCGAAACCTGCTCGATTAAATTTTGTAGAGTGTACAGTGTCCAAATTCCCTCTTTTCCGTACGTTTTTCTTTGACATTCAAATCATCTACCCTTTGATAAACACAGAAAAAGGAAGTTGGGAAAACAGGCAATACAAATGCCTAGCCAACGCTAAACAAAATATTCAAAGATGTAAGATTAAAAGGCAAAATAATTAGCAGCACAGTCACTAACATTTCATATATGGTTAACATTCATACTTTGTTTTAGAAATATGAACCACCTTAGCAAAGCACAAGTGTTGCCATATGGAAAAGTTATCTCTTTAAACTCCTAACAAATATCCGACGGCAAGTTGCAGCCATCAAATAACGGTCAGAATCAGCACAATCTCAAAGATAGGGAGTTGCGCTCATCAATTTAAAGAACTCATGTGATTCACTGATTCATGTCACAGTTTCAGCCACTTTGGCCTAACAGGTTTTTTCTTTGCAGGCTTCTTCTCTTGAACAACAGGAGGTGATGCCTCTGGTATCGTTTCTGGTGCAGACTCAACAGGCTCTGCATGCTTAGTGATGAGTTCCAAACCTTTCAAAGACATGATCTCTTCCTGAAGGAAGGGACCTGACTTGGCATTTGAAGCATTATCTGCTGGACATCACATTACAATAATCAAACATTTCACATTAGCCATTGTATGCTATTTACAATCAAAAGATGCATATGTTTACATCAGTGAAATAATTTCAGGTAAAAGTTCTGATTCCTCTGCTGTCACCCCAAACGGACAACCCCATAATCATAGAGAAGAGTGTCTTCATTGTAAATGTAATATATTGAAAGCGTATAGCCGGGCGGCCATACCTGGGTCCTTTTTTATTTTATTTTTTAATAAATAGTATCGACAGGTGGCTATACTCCAAAAAAAATAGGAGGCGGGTTTTTTTTTAAATAAGTAGTATACTGTGTAAATATTCGGGTATTTTAAAGAGTATAGCCGTGTGGGTATACTCTCCGAATATATTTCGAATATTTATATAGTATAGCCGTGCCATAATATTCGAATTTTTATTTTTATTTTCTTTATTCGAAAATATCTATTTTTAAAAACAAGATTAGCTTTTTCAGTTTAATATTTGTAATTAAGAACTATCTTAGCCTTATTTAATTACTAATTATATTTCATACATTATTTATTTAGTGCATAATTAGTACTTAATTGATTTATTATATTTCAAATATTTAATATTTTAGTGCATAATAAGTATATTCGAATAAACTGAGTGTTATTGAGTACATATTTCCCTTTTATGCAATGGAGTGTAGTAATAGTTGTGATTTGGGTCTCTTTCCCTCTCTCATATGTATTTCTCTGACGCCCTAGTTCCAGGAGAGTTTTTTTTTCGTCAAAGAGATGTAGTTATGTTTTTGTTCAGGGGTTAAAAGCGGTGAATACCAGCAAGGCTTTTTTAGGGCACCAAATTCTTCACATTCATATTCAGGAGAAATTCAAATCAGATTCAGTTTTCACATGATTATCACCTAAATGCAAAATACAAAGAGCTTGAAAGCGATTAAATGTAGTGTTGTTGTTTAACTTCAGTCTCCACCAGTAACAAGAGATGAAGCTGATAGACAACACCAAAATTTATGAGTTTTTCAGACCCTAAACCTAATCGAATTAAGGACAAGGGTATAGTTAAAACTCAAAATCAAACATTAAAGAAAGGAAAACAAACATCAACAGTGTTTGATTTAAAACACACAAACAAAGAACATGTAGCAAGGGTCTAATCCTTAGCACCTAATCTTATCTTACAAAAACCAAACACACAACGCTGGATTTTGATGCAACCATTAAGATTAAAAACCTCAGTTAAATCCATTAATGTCATATGAAATGTAGCTTCACCGAGGGGTTCTCCCTGAAAACAGGGTCTCAGTTCCACTACACCTCAAACAAGCGGATGCAATCATCCTAGGTCAGAACAACACAATATTCAAATCAAAATTGCAACAAGAAGATTTTCAAAACATAAAACGGCAGATCAAGCAACGGACACAAAAACATTTGATTTGGATGCAATAATTTGGACCAAAACCTCAGTTAAATCCATTAACGTCATATGAAATGTGGCTTCGCCGAGGGGTTCTCCCTGAAAACAGGGTCTCAGTTCCACTACACCTCAAACAAGCGGATGCAATCATCCTAGGTCAGAACAACACAATATTCAAATCAAAATTGCAACAAGAAGATTTTCAAAACATAAAACGGCAGATCAAGCAACGGACACAAAAACATTTGATTTGGATGCAATAATTTGGACCAAAACCTCAGTTAAATCCATTAACGTCATATGAAATGTGGCTTCGCCGAGGGGTTCTCCCTGAAAACAGGGTCTCAGCTCCACCACACCTCAAACAAGCGGATTGAATCATCATAGGCCACATAAACACAAAATTCGAAACATCAAATCATTATAATAAAAAAAACACAAAAGAAATCAAATTTATAAACTGAAGGCTCAGAGTATGAAACAGCTCTCTCGATCACGAATTTTCTGAAGCAGAACTGGCATAAAGCTGTAAATTTAGTCATCACTGCCAAAACAAATATGATAAAATATGCAAACTTTTCAACAACCCAAAACATAAATAAACCAAAAATATCACAAATCATGGCTCATATCAAGAAATTCAACCATTGATTATCACATTCTGCTTCATGGATTGCTCTCAGAAGCGCGGATAATTTGTAATCATCGCCAAAATTCAATCAAAAAAACTGAATTTGGAGATCTAAAGAGGACAAATCTAGCGGACGTTTTTAGAGGCAAAACCATCAAAACAGATAAACCCCCACGTTGACACCGCAATCGCTTTGCGCCTCCATGACTAGCTCTGTTTTCGGAGAATCTTCAAAAACAGGCTTAAGGTGTGTCGAGGCGTAACATACAGCACTGAAATTGATGAAAAGGGATACTTAAGGTGTGTCGAGGCGTAACATACAGCACTGAAATTGATAAAAAGGGATGAGCTTGGGAGAGATATGGCCGTCGATTTGACACAGAAAAGCCGTGGGGAGCAAAGCTAAACTGCAACACTTAACGGCGACGTTTTAGCACGAGCATTGGGGCTTTCATCTTCAGTGAGAACTCTCAGAGAAGCCCGGGGTGCATCGTGCGTGATTCAGCAAGATTTAAACATGCGTGATTCAGCAAGATTTAAACAAATAAAAGAATGGAACTTTGAAACAGAATTGAACAACAAGAAAAAGAGGAGATTTGAGGAGGCTAGGAAAGGCTTCGATGGAGACTGAAGAGTATGAAGGAGAAGCAGCGGTTCGTGTTGTTTATATAGGCAATCTAAAGCCCCGCACAAACCCTAGGTCATTTTCCTTTTACTCGTACTACAGTTGTAACGACGCCGTTTCTTCACTATCTAGCCGTTCAGCATGCTCAATGTCCTTTTTGCCCACGACTGGTGTTGTAATTTGTAATGTCCTTTGTCGAGGAAAAGGATTTGGTAAGACTCAAGACCGATTCTCCCTCCCCCAATATCGTTTGTATCATAAGTAATTTTGTAGTGTGAATATACTGCAGCGAGAATTACATTATCACTCACCTTCTAATGTTCGGATTTCGGATTTGCCCTTTGAAATTATAAACTTTTAAACAATAGTATAATTAAGGTTAAAAGTCTTTTAAGGGTGAATCGAACAGTATGATTTCACAATGAATCAGTCACATTTCTTCATGCTAAAGAAGAGAAGGAAACTATTGATATGTGACATGGGTCACATGAACAATGTAGAAACGTTCCAGTTTAAATTATAGGGAGACTAGCTACTTTGAAATTTCTGGAGTTGTACAATCATTGAATTCTAGTCAAGCTGAGATGAAACATGGAAGACAAAAATGGGAAGCACAAAACAAGATCACTACTACAATCTAAATTACAGAGAGATCACTGAATTCAGTTGACAAAAACAAAGGGTATAATTCTGTCACCGCAAACTTGAGACATCTCACACAAGACACAAGGTCACTTCCCTTGCAGTCCAATAGGCATGTAATGGTATTCTTAACACTCATACTATCATCCATGTCAAATGCCGGTACCCAGCCCACTTAGCAGCAAGACGAATTCCGATGGCTAAGGCTACGCCGAGCAAGGGCATTGGAAGCTTACTATTAGTCACTACAATTTCTTCCTTTCTTTCCGAAAGCTTCTTTGAGTGGTGCAAAATGGCTAAGGCGAGATATGATGAGATCACCAAAACTCTAATATACGGTTCTCCTACAGCAGCCAGCACAGCTGCTGCGGGTAATGCAGATGTAACATCATCCCTCTTTTTAACAAATCGTGAGTAACCGTACAACCCCACTAGAATTGTCCAGAAGAAAGGCTCTGAGATGTAACCTGTCACAGCTGCATAGCCTACTACACCAGATGCTGTGAGAAGAAATGGTTGACAGTTTATAGAGTTTGGAACAACAGCTTCTGCGATAGCAAGGATGGTTGATGCCAGCATGATAACCGTTGTCAATTCTGGAATTGGAGCATATGCCACTATGCCAGAGTAGAAAGAGTGAAGGGCATAGATTGTCGTTTCTATGAATCTGATTATGAAAGTAATGGGATCACCAAGGAAATGGAAGATTAGGGCCAAGATAAGTTTCAAGAGGTATCCCACAAAACGGACAACAGCCAGTGCAGCCTTTCTCCAGTTAGCTAATTCCAGCAAGACAGCTCTCCATGCATAAATAAGGAAGACCAACGCTGCATAATTACAAATAATATTTAGTTAGCTGCATAAGATATGTTATTTTGCAGTCAGATTTCCCAGAAAAGTATTTTGAAAAAGGTTAAGAACAACAGTTGCATTGGTCATAAAAATTAGTAGGTGCAAGCCACAAACAGAAACTGAACAACATAATTAGTATGGTCATAAAAAGTTATATTAGAATAGTTTTATAATACCACTAACGAGTTCATGTAACAGGAACTAAATAATCTAAAACCAATACATTAAAGTTTCTGTTTTATCAGCTTATAAGCTCACACCGAAAAAGTCAGCTCTCAGATCTGTTTAACTCCACAAAACAGCACTTTCTGCCCTCATAAAAAGTTATATTAGAATAGTTTTATAATACCACTAACGAGTTCATGTAACAGGAACTAAATAATCTAAAACCAATACATTAAAGCTTCTGTTTTATCAGCTTATAAGCTCACACCGAAAAAGTCAGCTCTCAGATCTGTTTAACTCCACAAAACAGCACTTTCTGCCCTCTGCTAAATAATTTCTAAGTTTCTTATGCATCCAGATTCAGCAAATCCTTCTATATTCATACAATCACAAGGAAAAAGCATTTGTGGCAGAATACCCTCAAGCATGGAGAACTAAGACACACTTAATCAGAGCACTTGTCTAAATCATCTCCCCCAACTCATATAAAGCGGTACTCTTCTACATTCTCAGGTGAAAATCAGTCAATAAACTTAAATGTGTTATGGCATATGAACATTTAGTCACTAATGCATACGCCAGAGCAGGCAGAAAATAAAACTATGAGAACGGTCGATAGGTTGAAGAACCCTTCTTTTAAAACACATATACTGTCTATACATTCTCTCTCTTTATAAGTAATTCTGAAAAGTCAAGAATTACAAACCGCTAGCTCACTTTTTAGATGTTTGTGACGAACTCTTATAATTTGCTGTCTCGCATTTTAAGAGCTTATGGGGCAAGCATTTCTAAATTTGAGGAAGTTGTGGTGAGAAACGTCAAAATATACTTCCTAACAAGAAACTAACCAACAAGATGTATTTCTATATGAAAGCAAGTTCCTTAATCATAGTGATATTGCTGCCCACAATCATTCAATGGGATATTATCACAAGTATCCAGTAGAGTGTCGCTCTTAAATTCTCTTGGAGTCCCAATTTATTACAATCCCAAATGTTCAAACTTTCATATTTTTTTTCTCTTTTCCATTCATCAACATTTTCTCAGCAAACAAACAGAGAAAAAAGGAAAAGAGAGTAGAACATTTTACCTACAAACCAAGGCCACCTCACAGGAGGATCAGGAGCTTCTTTGGTCAAGTACCTGAACCGCTCAGGCATAGTACTCTCTCCTCCAGTCTCTTCCTCAGCTTCATCAACGCCATCACTTTTTGCACTCACACGAACCCTAAACCTTCTTTCAAACAAAAACCCAATTGCTTTCCCGGAAAACCCAGGAAAATTATGAGCTTGTATTGGGTTCAAAAATTGAACTTTGGTTGAAGAGCGAAATTGAATGGTTTGTTTATGTGGTCGAATGCTGAGAGGAGAAAATGAAGTAATTTTGAGTCTGAGAATAGAGGGGCTTGGAGCGGAGAGGGCGGGAATGGAAGTCGCCATGGCTTGGGATTAGAGAGGTTTTGCAGCCATTATCGGTATTAGCGATGGAGTAGCAGAAATTGGATGTTGGGGTTTTGAAGGTTTGGACTTTTGTTCTTCCAAGGTAAAGGTTTGAACTTTTTGTCCTATGAGCCCAAACTTGACAGCAATTTCATACTATTAGGTCCAGCCCACAAAGACCTTGTGCAAAAGTTTGAATTATAAATTTATTTTTCTTTTCTTTTGAATGTGAACATTGGATTGTGATTTGCAACTAGAAAATACTTTATAACCCAATTGTTTTCCTAGCTTGTTTTTTCAATCCATGATATTGTGTAATTGAGTTTAGCATCCCCCGTCTTAACTTTTAGCCTTTTCCAATTTGACAAATTCTGAATAAAAGGATTTTTGGACAGTAAAAACTTAAAATTGCTAGTTTGGTATGTCATGAAATGGAGGACGATCTGCATTGGTAAAAACACCTCAAAACTGAATTCTTTCTGTGTGACATGACATGGAACAAGTGAAGCTTGCTTTTAGTAGTCTGACACAACAGTTAATGTACAATATTAGTCTTGATACACCACCCAACTAGTGCCAGAAGGTGCCTTCACTCCCTTCTCCTTCATTTCCCTTCTCATTCTCTGAGCCTCCTCATGCCTCCCTAAGCTAGAATACATCCTTGCCAACAATAAATAATTGGCAGGATTACCAGGCTCGATTTCGGACAGAGCTTTCCCTGCAATCTCAGCAAGCTCCATGTTTCCATAAGTTCTACATGCCGAAAGAAGAGCACCCCAAGCTTTAGCAGTCACCTTCACTGGCATTTGCCTTATGACCTCATATGCCTCATTCAACCTCCCTGCTCTGCTCAAAACATCTACTATACAAGAATAGTGATCGCTGTTCGCTTGCACACCGTAATCCTTACGCATCCGACTAAAATAATGTAGTGCTTCATCGGCTAATCCTTCAGCATGGCTACACGCTTTCAGTACCGCAAGGAAAGTGATCTCATCGGGCTCTACTTTTGCCAATTCCATCTCCCGGAAAACGTCCAATGCAGCTCTTGCCTCCCCTTGAAGTGCATACGCAGATATCAAACTACTCCATGCAACTACATCCTTTTTCTTCATGCAGTGGAACAGATTATGCGCATTAGCAAGACAACCACAGCGCCCGTAGGCCTCCACCAGGAGGCTACTCAATTGAGAATGAAAGTCAATCTCATTCCTTACATCATAGCCATGAATTTCCCTAATAAACCTTAAAGCTGCAACACCAACGCAAGCACGTAACAGAGCAAGCAGTGTTATTAAATCCGGCTTCCATCCCCAAGCTCTCATTTTTCTATAGAACTCGACGGCCTTGAACGACCCATCATCGGATCCCGCCAACCCGGCTATAATGGAATTGAATGTTGACACGTCTGGTTCAACATCCATAGCCTCAAACAATCCCAACGCATCAGACACCTTCCCATTACGCGTATACACCGACATCATAGCATTCCACACAACAACGTTCCTCTGAGGAATTTCATCGAACAAGTTACGTGCCGCTGAGAGTGACACGCATTTGCCGTACATGTCAACGAGAGCGGAAGCCACAAATGGGCTTGGAAGGATTGACGATTTGGCAACATGGGCATGGATGGAGATGCCGAGTTGCGGGCGGTGGATGGCAGAGCAGGACTTGAGAACAAGAGAGAAGACATGGGCGTCGAGAGGGAGGGCCAGTGAGGCCTGCATGTGGTGGAAAAGAGCAAGGGCTTTGTCATGACGGCCTTGGTTGACGTCAGAGGTCAAGAGCTTGGTGAGAGAAAGCAAGCGCTGGAAGTTTGATGGCTGGTAGGAGCCCATGTTAGTTTGGGCTTTGGGGACCAACAGCATCTATATAAGCAATTTTTTTTTATTTTTTTGGTGAGAAATATCTATAATATAAACTCTTTTTTTTTTTACATTGGAGGGTTATATTGGAGTGAATCGAACCATAAACCTAACCCAATCATAACTCATTATCCTACTCTCCTTCCCTTGAGATGAATTTTTTCTCTTGTTTACATTGGATGGTCATATTGGAGAGAATTCAACCATAGACCTAACCTAATCCTAACCCATTATCGTACTCTCCCTTCACTTCTTGAGATAACTTTTATCTTTTGTTTACATTGGATTGTCATATTGGAGAGAACCGAATTATAGACCTAACCAAACCTAACCTAATCCTAACTCATTATCCTATTCTCCTTCACGACCACCACTGTCTCTGGTTCAGGTGTTAGTGTCTTATGGGCTACCATGCCCCCCTATTTGATAACTTGTTTGTGGGAGGTCTGTCTTTGCTGGGTACTATGTCTTATAGGCTTTCTTAGTTGTCTGTTTATCTCCTCTCTTTTATATCTTTTGTGCCTTGTTTGGCTTGAAATGAAATTTAGTATTGAACAAAAAAAAGAAGAAGAAAGAAACAGGGAGGGCATGGGCACGTGAGGATTGAACTCTGTTGCAAGTTATGTGTTGGTCCCATGCTTAAGGCAACTCCGTCCCATGCTTAAGTCTAATCAGGCCTAGTGTTGTACACATGAAAAATAGACCAGGTTTGATCACAAGATTGATCATCCTCTGGTCTTTGAATTCTAAAGAGAAATACCATTTTGGACTTTTAAAGCAATATTTGCAGAAAATATATGCTCCATAGTCTTAGCCATAGTAGAACATGCAGGGTTAATTTTTCTTGACAGAAGTAAGGTTAATTCTCTGGCTCTCTGAAGATTAGTCAGAGTTTTAGCATGGAGCAATAAGTAGTAATTGGCATTAAAAAGCAGGCAGTTAAAAATTAAGGTTAAAGATAAAACTTATTAACAATATTAATATGATTTAACTGTCTTGTCTTCTTCCATCAACATGTTAATATACCCTCTTGGTGCCATCCATTGCAAGGAATCCCTCAAGCTCAAGACATCATCTTTCACCTTCTTGGAAGAGACATCATCTTTCACCTTCTTTGAAGAGACATCATCTTTCACCTTCTTTGAAGAAACATCATCTTTCACCTTCTTTAAAGGATCTACTGCTACCCAAAGATGCCTGAGACTAGGTAGTGGTGGAGAACATGTATTTCTCCTTTCTTCTGGAAAGATAAGAGCCTGAAACATATTCAACAACAACAACAACAAAAAGGTTAGAAATCGATTGACACATATAAAAGTAATTAAAATCGAACAGTATGCATAAATACCTCAGCTTCATTAAGGGTTAGGCTTAAACTTCCAGAGGAATCAAAATGTCTGAGAAAGTTTATTAACGCAGGAAAATCTATGTCTTCGAAGATATTTTCTTCTTTGCCAGATCTGTCTTCTAAGTTTAAGTTGACGTCGGCCTTCAACAAATTTGGAGCATTCAGAGAAAAGTTGGAGAACAGAACATTTAACTGATGACTCGGCAAATAACCAGTACTAAACTCAAAAGCATCTAGATTTGGAGTATTGATATTGACTTTCACGGTAAAACCGTTGCGTCCAGAAAACGCAAGGCGTTTCAGAATCTGATTATTGATGTGGATGGTATCTGACCAAAAGTTGCTGCATTTATACAACACCAAACTCTCAAGCAGGGGAAATCTTGAACTGAGGTCGTCATGAAACCATCGGCCTCCAAAGCATGTATCAAAAAACTCCAGATGTCTAAGGGATCGACACGACGCGATATTGAGGCTGCTGTGCATGTACATTTCAGTATAAGAATCACCCCAGAATCTAAAAGATTCAAGATTCACAGCTCCAACTTCAATTCTCACTTTTCGGCACCTATCAATTTGCAAGGATTTGAGGCTTGAACTCAAAACTTTGCAGAACCTTAACCCACAGGAATCTAACGACAAGTCCTCAAGGGAAGGGCACCCAGAAATTAAGTGGACAAATTCCACGTTACCCAAATCCATGTTCTTGAGGACCATATTTTTCAAACTAGGAAGGCTTATAGGCATAGGGTTGTCTTTTATTTTCACATTATTTAATCTCAGAGTGGTTAAAGATTGTGCGTTGAGGATCGTTTGCGGCAAGAAGTAGGGTTTGCTTCTGTCCCCATACTTTCTTATAAGGATGATCTCCAACTCTTTAACGTTTCTCTCAACAGCAAAACTCAGCCACTTATCTATCATACTGGCACCTCCAGAGTACCTCATGCTAAGCCTGAATGTGTCCAAGTCATGTTCTTCTTCGTCCTTTTCGCGGCGCTTCAAACAGCTGAGCAAGTACTTCCGGAACATTGCCCTGTCAGGGCCATACTGAGAATCGTAGAGCTGCAGATCCTCATCGAAATTCAAGACCGGGAGCGAAGACCAAAGGCATTGCCATTGCCGGGAGAGAGTACTAGCCCGGACAGCGAGCTTGGTGGGGAGGAGGAGGAGGATTTGGTTGACAACAAGGTCAGGTAATTCTGGTGTGTACGTGTCCACATCCATGGGGAGCTCTTGGTTTTTCTGAACATCATCTAGTTCATGGCTTTTTATCCTTTTATTTATGTTTGAGCCGCTGCAACCTGCAAATTTTCTTTTCTTAGCCATCATAGAGTTTTTGTGAACATCATCTTGTTCGTGGGTTTTCATCTTTTTACTCATGTCTGCGCTGCTGCAACCTTCGCCTTTTCTTTTGTTAGCCATCATAGAGTCCCTCTGTGATGCAAAACTATAGCACGTAGTGATCAATCAATGGCTTTAGAGAACAAGTCTTTATCAATATATCTGTGGTTTTAACAGAGAAGATCTAGAGGAGAAGGTCAATAATAATTAGAAAGACAGTTGACAAATCCTCAAGGAAAAAAGAAAACTCTAGATATTGCGAATCCTATGCTAGATAGGAACAAGTCTTCCCTCAAGAAACAAGTTTCCTATAGTGTTCCACGATCACAATATAACAGCGCAGGTATAGAACGGACCTAATTTGAATTGTCACTCCTTTTTATTTATATATATAAAAAATTAAAGGTTAATTATTTACAACAACAAAAAATCTACAACTTCCTCTAATATTATTATCACAATCTTAACATGATTTTTTTTTTATAATGGTTTTCTTGAACAATTTTTTTTTTGTGGCCAAAGTTAGGAAGGGAATGAGGTTTTTCTCACACACTGTCAATGTGTCATGAGGATTCGTAGTCTTCAAGTTAATACCTTTTTCCAGGAGGTTATACCCTGTTGGCTTTCTTAAATATATTCAAATACAATTGTATATGTACATTTTTCTTTTCATATGGAGGAGTAATAAAACAACCAAAATCTTTATCTTTTTATCTTTTTTTTGGTGAACATTATCTTTCCATTGTTCAACTCAACCAGGAAACGCAGTTCCACAAAAGCTCTCTGCTTCCTGCGTGTAGGCTTCACCCAAATCTGCATAGGTAATAATTATAGCTAGTTATTTGCCCAATTGAAATCGCTTTATGTGAAAGTTGCAACAGAAAAGGAATTAAATCAAAGATTACTTTTTGAAAGTTGTGTAATTCTATTTTTTTTTTTTATAATCATAAGCGATAGTATTTTATTGAAGTGAGGAAGCAACAAGTACAAAAGTTAGATTCTTTCCTAAAGGATTAGATGAGCCTCTCTACACATAAGGATTCAATCGTCATACTACTTCACAGGTGAGAGAAGGAACCTTGTTCGTATAAGAACACCCCCTCTCCCGGTCCCCAGGATCGTAAGTGTAAAAACTAATTGTATAATTCTAATTAACTATAAAATGTTCTAGTCATATCTTTATGTGAAAACAATTACTGCGTTTTTTTTATAGCTATAATGGAATACAATAGTTTGATTGGTGATAAGATAACAAAGCTCCTCTAATTTTTATCTTTGTAAAAAAAACAAAAAAAAGGTACAACTTATATTAACTTTTCCTCTCAATATTATTTTCAAATTTTTATGAGAAAAATACTTAAATATGATATGATAATGACACTCCAATTTTGACGCATATTAGGAAGGAAAGAACAATGATAAGAATTTCTTAATGTCCCAAGACGTCAAAAACCCATGGATATCAGCGTTCTCACTAATTTCTCTACAGCCAGAGCTAACCTCCAGAGAAACAAAATAAATGTTTAGAATTTCTTCCATTTTCATACTTATGGGACATAGCAATGTGAACGAAACGAAATTAAAACATTATATATTTTTGGAACCGAAAACCCTTTTGGATCCTTCTCCAAATGGGTGTAATCTCATTAATTTCGGAAAGATTCCATCTCAGTTTGTTTCCTTTTCTTTCTTTTCATGAAAGGATGGTTTGGTTGGGTGTGAATATATGTAACATGACCCGTTTTCTTTTCTTTTGCCTTCGCATCACATGTCAAGAGAACTCAGCTTTGAGGGCTCTGGACTCCATAGTCAAGAGTGGGGCAGTATCAAAAAACCTCAATTGAGCAGAGCATTGTTCAGGCTCATCAAACCCTAAAGCCTGGTTCTGTTTTCATCAACAAAGGTGACCCCCACCCCAAGTCAAGAGAATTCAGCTTTTATTGGGTTTGTTTATTAGCAATTTATTAGTTGTTTCAATTAATTATTTTGAATACCCTTTTTCTGTGTGGTAATTTATTTTCATCTTATGCTACTGTAATTTATTTTTTGTGGAAACAGAGAAATTACAACAGAAATTTCTTATTATTTTAGTGTGTTGAGTTGATTTTCATTCGTCTGAATTCTTGGCTGTTTGGTTTTCAAAATTAGATTACAGAAAAAATGACTATACACACACACAGAAAGGAAAATTAGAATTGAGGTAATACATAAACTCAGATTATGATGTTGTTCCATAGGGAGATTTAGGGATTTTGCATTCAAGGACATTGTCTCAGATTGTGCACTTGTTTAATTTATTTTGTTTAGCTTTG